CACAAAACATACATCATTGACTCAAAATAACTAAATTCAAACCTTTTTTACTCCCAAAGCCATATTTTAACAAAAAAAATATGTATATTATATCAAGTAAATATTGAATTATTTGGAAAAGATAAATATTAAGTATGAATGTTGAATTTTTACTTGATAAGGAAAATTTGGATACATATCCATTGTCTGGATACGATTTTTATAACATAACAATAATCTAAGATATTGAATGTACCACGCACAAAAAAACAAATCTAGTACATTGTAAACATTATGCTTAAATACTCAAAGTCATCAAGTCCAATTAAAAAAATAATTAATTTACCACGTCACACAAGTTTTATATCTTGTAGCACAATTAAATTGAAAGTAATGAGTCCTTGTTTATTTACAATTCATCTTAACAATTTGTAGTTTTCAATGATTGTAACATGGAAATTCAAATTCAAATTGACATCTCATCTACGAGATTTTACGTTATTTGTGATTTATGTAATTATTTCATTATGATAATTATGTCAAGTACAGCTCACAAAACGGATATCATTGACTCAAATGACTAAATTCAAATTTTCTTACTTCGAAATCATATTTTAATTGAAAAAATATGTATATTGTGCCAAGTACACATTAAATTATTAGGTATGTTAGTCTTTCACTTTACAAGAAAATTTTGGATATGTATTTACTATCTCTTATACAATATTTACAACAAAACAATAATTTAAGAAAATGTATGTCCTACACAAAAATAAATCTAGTACATTGTGAACATTATGCTTAAATACTCAAAGTCATCAAGTACAATTTAAAAAAAATAAAAAAAATAATTTACTTGCACATCACACAAGTATTATACTTTGTAGCATAATTAAATTAAAAGTAAGTTCTCATTTGTTTACATTTCATCTTAATAATTTGTAGTTCCCAAGGATCATATCATTCAAATTCAAATTAACATTTCATATATGAGATTTTACCTTATTTGCAATTTATGTAATTATTTCATTATGATAATTATGCAAGGTGCATGTCACAAAACTGATATCATTGACTCAAATGACTAAATTCCAACCTTTTACTTCTAAAATCACATTTAAATAGAAAATACATGTATATTATGTCAAGTACACATCAAATTATTAAATAAAGATAAATACTAAATATGAATGTTGAGCCTTCATTTTATAAGGAAATTTTGGATATGTATATACTATCTCAGATACGATATTTATAACATAATAACAATTTAAGACACTAAATGTAGCCCACACAAAAATAAATTTAATACGTTTAAAATTTTAAAACCAAAAGAGCAAAAAAAGAAATGAATTTACCGCATTCCACAAGTACTATACTTATAGCATAATTAAATTAAAAGTAATGAGTCCTCACTTATTTATGTTTATCTTAATAATTTGTAGTTTTCGCTGATTTGTACCATGAAAATTCAAGTTCGAGGTTAGTTTGAAGATTTCAAATGAAGGAATTTGATGCAGTTGAACTTCAAATTCCCATTACTTGTCTTCCAAGAAACCTTATTGGTACATTTTTTAACTGAATAATGTTTTATTAGAATACAAATTTTTTTTTGTTCCTATAAGTTTTAAGGGGCACCCCGCACAACCAAAGTCAAATCCAGGTAAAAATTGGGTCTTAAAAAGCACCAAAAAAAGAGAGTATTGCCATGATTCAACAAAGATTGTTGCTAGAACTGAATCAAAATGGTTAGCAGCAAAGAATTAGTTTTGGATAAAGTCAAAGAGAGCGTTACGTACTGGGAGTTTAATTACGTGGGGTACACATAACAAATATTTCAAAAGCTGTCCACAAAATTTGACTCTATCTGTAGGTACAGCCTAAGCCGCAATGAAGATTTATTACTTTCCTCCAACTATGAATGGTTATTGAACGCGGACAGCAACAGCAGCCAACGCTCAAAGCCACGAACAAATCCACTATTTTGGATATTTGTTAAAATAAATAAATAAAATTTTCATCGGTCAAAGAAAGACAGGCACATTTTTTTTAGTCCCAATAAGTCCTTGATTTTGTTAAATTTACAAGGTTGACCCCGTGGGAACGGAATTCAAACTGTCCACGCACCAACAAAGAAAACACGGAACTATTAGGTGTAGTAGGTAGCAAACAGGGGAAAAAGATCTCGCATTTTGATCCGTTGGTGCTTATCTTTTTTTTTCTGTTAATTACTAATTAATTGCTCTCCTATCCAAATTTGAATTTAAACTATTAAACACCACAATTAATATGAGGAAACAACCGAATCAGGTCGGAAAGTCCGTTAGTTATTCCCTTCAAAAAAAAAAAGTTCCGTTAGTTATTTTTCGGTTTGCCCCTAACGGTAACAGCTATGCCTCTTTATCACTAGCAATGGTAATAGAATGTACGTACTCGCTCAAAAATAACTAAAATTTGTCAATAAGTTATGTTACCGTGACAGTGAAGAAATTTTTTCTTCAGTCGCGTTCGCGTGTTGCAGACAGCGGCAATGGAAGTTAGTTTTGGTGGGTTTTGGTTAGGGAGGGTCGGTGGTGACTGCCTCGTGTCGGTGGCCAGAAAGCCGTTATCATGTCATCTCCGATGGCAGGTTTACAGGCTGGACTGACAATCTGTCAGTCAATCCTCAGACCACTTTTGTTGTTTTTATCCACGTAAGCAGTCCCTTGCACACCCACGACAGCCCAATGCCGAACAAAACGACAAAATTAATTGGAATAAAAATTAATAAAAATAAAACAAAAACTCAAGTTCCCCACGTAATGCCTTCCAGCCTGGCGGAGTCAAACTTATCCTCTTCCAAATTTCTCCTCAAATTCTCGTGATTTTCTCACTCTCCAGAAACTCCTTGCTGGTTACTCCATAGCCACCTTTCCATTTCAATAACTTCCATAACTATACGAGTCAAATCAGGAAACTACCATCTTGAAATTCCTGCACTATCCCCAGAGGATTTATTGGGATTCTCAGAAATTCAGTATTTTTGCCAACGTGGCCTTCCGCAAACGTTATACAGCTGTATCACCATTCAACCGGTTACTGGTCAGCACCAGTTCACGTAACGCTTATTACCTGAATTGGTAAACCGGCTCTATCAGTTACCCTAACAACTCCCCTTTATAAACCCTCCTTATTCCCTTCTTGCCTCTCACAAATCACAATACAAGCCTCCCACAGGCTTCTTCTTCTCTTCCCACCGCCTCTCAAAAAACAAACTAAAATCCCCCGTTGGGATTTTGAAACTGTTACTAGTAAGCCGTAAGCCAATGGATCAAGACTTTGATCGGGTGAAGGGACCATGGAGTCCCGAGGAGGATGAGTTGTTGCGCAAGCTGGTGCTTCGGCACGGTCCTAGAAACTGGTCATTGATTTCGAAGTCGATCCCTGGTCGATCGGGGAAGTCATGCAGGCTCCGTTGGTGCAACCAGCTGTCACCCGAAGTCGAGCACCGTGCCTTCACGCAGGAGGAAGACGAGACCATCATGAGAGCCCACGCCAGGTACGGCAACAAATGGGCAACCATCGCCAGGCTCCTTAACGGCCGTACCGACAACGCCGTTAAAAACCATTGGAACTCAACCTTAAAGCGAAAACTCTCAATGGAAGATGGAGATTCTCTGCAGGAAACAGGGAAAAGGTCGGCCAAATCCCAGAGATCAGAGAGTAGTAATAACATGGGCAGTCCCTCAGGTTCTGACGTCAGCGATTTAGGATTGAACGTCGCTGAGTCGAAACGTTCTGGCGTTTCAACTGAGCTTACTCTAGGACGTTCTTCGAACGAGTCCAGCGAGTTGAATAACGACAACTCATCCTCGGAGAAAGTGTTATTAGCTCAAAAGCATGAGATGGGGACAAAGACCGCGACGGTTGACCAGAACCTTATGGCTGCGATGCAAGAGATGATAAGGAAAGAAGTGAGAGATTGCATGGCAGAGTTTGGCTTCCAGAGTGAAGGTGTGAGGAATGCTGGGTTTAAGAGAATTGGGATTAGAAGGATTGATTGAGGGGATAATCTGGGACGAGTGATCATTAGAAGATTGTTAAGATGGAGGCATGAGAGATCTAGACGCCTAGGATTTGATGAAGTATGGAAGACTACCAGAAAGAAAGAAAGAAAGAAAGAAAGAACGAAAGAAAAACAAAATCCCTTTTGTTTTTACACAGTACAACAATTTTGAGCATGTACAGAGACAACGGGAAAACCATAAAAAAAAAAAAAGAAAGGAAAAATTATGAACTTTCATTAATTTTGTCAGATGAATTAGCTTGAACTTTGATTACCAGCCAACAAAGACAACAAAATTATCCAGTGCACCAGCTAGCCAACAAAGAAAACATAATTATTCGGAGGAAATTCTATACAGTTTTATTGTTCGTTTTTCAAATTTGATTAGTTTTTGTTAATTAAAACTTCGGTTTCTTTATATCCTTAGTTGTGTTTTCCAAATCCAATCCGACATTTTTGAGTCCGAATATTTTTTTGGGTTAATTATGTTGGGGAGAAAAAATAATGACTTATCATCCATATGACGTACGGTCGGTACCCAACATCGTACGAAATATCGGAAGTTATTGGTCAGGATGCTGGAAAATTATTGACTTATGGTTATTGGGCTACGGTTGCCAACTTGCCATTGATAAGTGCCAATGCGGTTTTTTTTTTTTTTCGTTAAAAGATTGCGACCTATCTGAAAAGCATTCATTTACATACAGATTTTGAAAATTATGCACAGCCACTTCTTCTTTCTCGTTTTGGATTTCTCCTTGTTGGTCATTACAGCATTCAAGTTCTTCTTTGCAATGAAGGACTAGGTTCACCTATTTACGTACTTAGTGGATTGGAAAAATAAGGAGCCAAATGGATAAAAGAACGCAAGAAATCAAAAGCGTAAATAGAATAATAAAAAAATGAACTTGAACAGTGTTT